TTGTTGTTGTTGTTGTTGTTGTTCCATAGAGAAATGGAAGCAATGCTGTTCTTAAAGTTACTTCTCAGAAATGTTCACATAGAACTGTATCATCTGTTAAATTATCCAAGGAATATGCCCAGCACTGGAGTAAATAGTCTCTAAAAATATGATGGGACAAATGAACTGATTGTCTCCTTTCCCAACCTGGTACTTTTCAGATGTGTTGAATCACAACTCCCATTATCCACAGTCAGCATGACCATTGGGGTGGTAGGAGTTGTAGTCTGATACAACCAGAGAATATCAGGTTGAAGAAGGTTCTTTAATCTGGAGCAGCAGATATCCTAGCAAGGTGGAAGAGAAAGTTGGACTATATATTGACAAGAACAGGTGATGCTCAAATGCTGCCCTTCTCCATGAAGCTTATGATGTGGTCCTGGAGATGCAGGTTCTATAAGGGTCAACAAAAATGTTGAGAAAGAATTGGTAGGGCATCTTAGCTTTATGTTTCACTAATAGCTGTGGCTTGTCGTTGCCTTTATTCTGACCTGCCTTTTCATTTCAACAGTCAAGTTATTTCCATCCGTGCTAACTTAGGACCACCTGGGGTGGAGAAGTACCCACAGATTGTCTGAGACATGAAAAACGGGTTATAAATCCCTAAAGCATTCTGTAACAGAGCCTGCAGAGATCAGGGAGGCGTCAGCAAAACTAATTGGTCACATACAAGGATTGAAGGAAATCTATGCTTGAAAATAATATATAATACACTATGTGGGAATTTATCTTTGAACCCCTTAGTACAGTAAAGGGTATGAAGAGTATATTACATGATCTGTTAGACTGTACCACTTGGGAAATGAAGTTTAAATGGATATAAAAACAATGAAATCCAAACCAAAAAAGTGGTTTAATTTGTTTTCCCTTGTGTGACAAAATCTTTTATCAATTTCTAGTTAACTAATTTTGACCATAACAGTTTTGCTGCAGTGTAGTATTTTGAAAAAGCCTGAAGGAACTTTTCAGGAAAAAAAAGTTGAAATGGGGAATAGAATACTAAGTCATTATTTAAATAATGATGCATATGTTACATTATTACATCAAGTGAAAGGTGATGAAACACATATTTATTCAGTTTCACTCTAAAAAAGTCCTTTATATTTTAATAGTGTAATCAAATGCTCTCAGTAATGTATTATTGAGAATAGGCCATATAAAAAAACAAGATCTGCTAAAATGCTTAAAATCCACCTATTAAAACAGGAACTTGCATATATTATTTTTTTTCACATGAAATTTCTTGGCTTAACAGTATTTAAATTTCTTCATTTTACCTGGTAGAGAAATTAATGTTATTGTAATTATATCATTATTCTCATTTGTGGTTCCTTCACATATTCTGGACAATGTGTGTGTTTTTCCTGGTTTGGTCCTTGTAATAAAAAAAACCAATTAATCCCTCTATACTCACTAGATGACACATATCAAGTAATAACATTATTCTGCTTAATTTTGAGATTGGCCAACTTCAAGAAAGCCATCTTAGATGTACATGAGGACTGTATGATATGTGTTGTAGGTTTCATTGGGATCTTCAATATTTCACATCTGCCACATGCTACTTCTCATATTCAGTTTCTTATCTGTAAATTGGGATCTGAAGTGTGTTAGCTCACAGCAATGATTTTAAAGTATTCTGCGGATTTTTAAAAAGTGCTGGGCAAAATGCTAGATTGATTGATTGATTGATTGATTTTATTTTATTTATTTTATTTTATTTTATTTTATTTTATTAAATTTGGGTGGTGACTTTGGG